TATTATCTGCATGGCTTGGCTTTTTAGATAGCAAATGTACTCTCTATAATTCCAAAGCTGTTTTAAAATTCTGTCATCTCGTGCTCACTTTTATCCATTCTGCCTCAATAATCTCCACTTATCAAATACAGACTGATTGGAAACATGAGGAAAACCAAACCAAATTTATTTTAGCACACAATAAATCACCTGTGACCTGAAGGCCAGTGTCATACTTTCTGAATTGGGCTTTTAATCATAGCTCATTGTGATTAGTGGAGAAGGCAGTGGCAACCCACTCCAGTACTCTTGCCTGCAGAATCCCCTGGACAGAGGAGCCTGGTGGGCTGCAGTCCATAGGGTCACTAAGAGTCAGACACGACTGAGCGACTTCCCTTTCACTTTTCACTTTCATGCACTGGAGAAGGAAATGGCAACCCACTCCAGTGTTCTTGCCTGGAGAATCCCAGGGACAGGGGAGCCTGGTGGGCTGCCGTCTGTGGGGTCTCACAGAGTTGGACACGACTGAAGTGACTTAGCAGCAGCAGCAGCACTGTGATTAGAGCAGGGTTAATATTGGTCCTGGAATAATATCTTGTCTGGCTTATTTGATTTTTAATGATGGTGACTTCTACCCAGGTGATAATAGCAGTGACACAGTGTCCCCTCCTTCCCATATTTCACAGTTTTTGCCCCCTTTCAGCCTTGACCATTAGAAGGGCACTGTTGGAGATATTTTAACAGGGTGCTAGAGTGGATGCACTTCATTGGTTACGCTGGAGTCTTTGACTGTGTGGATCACAACAAACTGTGGAAAATTCTTAAAAAGATGGGAGTCCCAGACCACCTGACCTGCCTCCCGAGAAGCCTGCATACGAGTCAAGAAGCAACAGAAAGAACTGGACGTGGAACAACGGACTGGTTCAAAACTGGGAAAAGAGTATGACAAGGCTGCATATTGTCATCCTGCTTATTTAACTTATATGCAGAGCACATCATGTGAAATGCCAGGCTGGATGAATCACCAGCAGGAATCAAGATTGCCTGGAGAAATACCAACAACCTCAGATATGCAGATGAATACCACTCTAAGGGCTGAAAGTGAAGAACTGGACCTCTTGATGAGGCTGAAAGAGGAGAGTGAAAAAAGCTGGCTTGAAACTCAACATTCAAAACCCTAAGATCACGGCATCTGTTCCCATCACTTCATGGCAAAGAGAAGGGGAAGAAGTGGAAGCAGTAACAGATTTTATTTTCTTGGACTCCGAAATCACTGCAGGTGGTAACTGCAGCCATGAAACTAAAAAACACTTACTCCTTGGAAGGAAAGCTATAGCAAACCTAGTCAGTGTATTATAAAGCAGAGACATTGCTTTGCTGACAAAGGTCTGTATAGTCAAAGCTATGATTTTTCCAGTAGCCATGTATGGATGTGAGAGTTGGACCATAAAGAAGACTGAGAACTGAAGATTTGACACTTTCAAGCTATGGTGCTGGAGAAGACTCTTGAGAGTCCTCTGGACAGCAAGGAGACCAAACCAGTTAATCCTAAAGGAAATTACCATGAATATTCATTGGAAGGACTGATGCTGGAGCTCCAGTACTTTGGCCACTCGATGTGAAGAGCTGATTCATTTGCAAAGACCCTGATGCTGGGAAAGATTGAGGGCAGAAGGTAAAGGGGGCTGCAGAGGATGAAATGGTTAGATAGCATCACTGACTCAGTGGACATGAATTTGAGCAAACTCCGGGAGCTAGTGGAGGACAGAGGAGCCTGGAGTGCTGTAGTCCATGGGGTTGCAGAGTCAGGCATGACTTAGCAACTGAACAACAACACCTCTACTGAACAGAGTAGATGCCAGGAGCTTGGAGAGCTGACACAGGGACCAATGAAGGAACAGCTTGTCAGATACTGTCCTTGCAATGCTGCACATGCCCTCCGGCTTCTACTGTAGGCACTGGTTGCCGGGGTCTTCGGAGTTGTCCTTCTCACTAGACTTTCCTGCAGCCCTGTGCCCTGGGCTCCAAGAGTGTTCCCCATGAGTCACAGCCCTTGGAGAGCAATAGAAGAAGTGGTTAAAGCTGCCTCTAAATCATGGGTACCTTTGAAGAAAAAACTGTGTAACCTCATGTTATTTACAAGGTACAACTTTGCTGATCCCTAATACTGTCAACTGTCATTTCTTACAGGGTTTCCTGTGCTTGAATTCTTTGCACTCATTCTCAGGAAGAGACCCTCTGGATCTGTGAAACTTAGTCTGAAAGCAGAGGGTAGAGACATATGTGGTTACTTTCATGTAGACAGGTCACTTGGTGCCCATTTCATTCCTTAATGTCCTTCAGCTCCAGCTTATTCTCATGGAAAAGGATTCTGTCTAGGTCCTCTTTGAAAAGGTGGCACGGGATTTGGGGATCAAGGGATGGATCCTTTTTTGTCTCATTTACTTTATTTCTAAAGTCTCCACTTCTGCTCACCTCCTTCTTTGACAGAGTCAAGTTTTGCAGTTAAACAGTAAACTGTAAGAAAATAATTTACAGTAAACTGTAAAGTGAAATACTCCAGTATCCCCAGGCTAAGTACTAAAAACATCTAATTTGAATGTTTTGTTTTGTTTTTTCTGTTCTGCCATCTCTTCTAATGTTTGTGTGTTTGATTAATTGGACAAGAATTTGGCTTAGGGCAGATGCAACAAAAGGCTCCTTTCACATCTTCTAAAGTCTAGACTGTGAGTTCAAGGGTAAAGACAGTCCCCGATCATTTGTTCACTCATTTGTCCAATTCTTATTACATATAGGGAACACTCCTTGTACTGCCCCAGCCCTGAGAATGCCGGATCAACTCTGCAAGACACTCATTATACAAATGATGTACATAGTTCTTTAAAATTATTTTCAAAACTACTGAAATAAATACAGAGTTCTGTTCTAGGGGCATCTGTTCTGGCTAGAGGTGGGCAGGGGGTGGTCCCAGAATGACCGAGCACTAAAGGCTGTGGAGAACAAAGGGCTGAGGGAAGCATGTTTTAGACGAGGGAACATCATACTGCAGCTTCTAGGAAAGGAAAAGCAAGTGCCTTGGAAGGCTGTGAAACTCTCTGAGTGGCCAGCAGGAGTGGGGATGTCATTTGTGGTGGGGAGAGAGGCAGGGTCAGATCCATTTGGCCTGTTTGTCCAAAGAAGTCTCAAACTGGTGTTTAGAACTTTAGCCTAAAAGAAGTGTGAGGTCACTAAAGCAAGAAAGTAACATAACTGGTCAGATGTTCCCTTTTTGAGAAGCATTCTGCCTGTTGCAGAGCAGGTCTTTGAGGTGGGGATGCAGACCATTTAGGATCAACTGAGATTCAGGAGGATAGGGAGGCTTGGACCATGATGGAAGAGGTGGAAATGGTGAGAAACAGATATCTAGAACAGCTAAGAGGAAGGAGTGAATGAATTGGTCACTTGGTTGGATGCAGAGGGTGGGCTTGGGGAGAAAAAGAACCAGAGGTGGACACCCAAGTTCCCCCATGGGAGATCTGGTAGGTGAGGAAGACTTACAGAGTCAGGGCTGAGGATAGATAACTCCTTTGCACTGTGTTTGGGGGGCTCTGAGAAATTCCAGTGGATGCTAGGTTTGAACTTCAGATGAGAGTGCTAAGCTGTCAAAGAAATGTGGATGTTGTCAGTTTTCAGAGAGTAATCAAGTCCTTCGGTTGGAATATGAGCCTTCGTGTAACTATAGGAGAGTCTGGGGAGCTCCAACATGGGAAAGCTTGCAGATGGAACTGTGCTGGGTCAGCCTAAGGAGTGGTCATGTCCAGGAGAGGGGCCTCGCTCCTGCAGAGCCGAGGAGCACTCAGACTGAGCTTGGCACAGAGCAGGATCTTAGGACATGCAGGCTGAACTCCCTTTCCTATTCAAATCTGCTTGGCCCAGGGATGGGAAGATAATCCATGCACCCAGAGTGTAAGCTTCTGATTTGCTTCTTGCACGAACACATTTGTCAGCAACACTTCAGGTTTCACTAGGATTTTGGAAAGCTGACATCCCATACTGCTTTCTTCTGAAATAAGACCATACCGGTTACTCTCACCACAACTTTCCCTTCAGAGGAATATGAGTATAGAAAATGAAGACCAAAAACTAGTGAACCAAAGTGATACCCAGATTAAGAAGACCCTCATAGAATATCAGCCACAGTTTTCCTATGCCTGGCATCTCTCTGTTCAAATTCTAATTGTTGACATGGTTTCTCTATTTTAAAGCAGTGATGGTGTGGTGCATGGCTACCATTTGGGGTGATACGCTGCAAGGGAATGGGGCTTCCTCTTGAGCCTTTCACGTCTGAGTAAATGTCTGAGTGAGTGAAGATGCCGAGATAAGTCAGTGACATTTTCAGCAGTTTAACTATAGATCTGGTTGCTTTGTGGTTGCGAGGATTTTACAAGTGGAGCATATCTGAGGATGCTTGTAGATAGTTTCCTCAGATGGCTGAGAGGAACAGAACTCTCCCTCCCTGCAGGGCTCCCACACCAAATCTTTGTTTCCTGAAAGATTCTCACCCCTTGAATTCTTACCCCTTAAACTTTAAAAATCCAGCATAAAATAATGCTGCTTGCTGTAATTGGTCCATTTTTTTTTTTTCTCCAAAATGAGTATGATCCGGGACTTGCCTGGCAATCCAGTGGTTAAGCCTTCACATTTCAATGCAAGGGATATGGGTTCGATCCCTGGTTGGGGAGCTAAGATCCCACAGGTCTTGCAGACAAAAAACCAAAACATTAAAAAGAAGCAGTATTGGAATGAATTTAGTAAAGACTTAAAAAAAATAGTCCACATAAGAAAACTGAAAAAATGAGTATGAGCCTCATGTAATCTTTCCTTGTATGTGTCAGTTGCCCAAACCAGGTCTCTTGGTGGGGATGGGGCACAGCGTTCTTCATGGGGGGAATGTCACTGATTCTGTTTGCTTGGGATACACGCTGAGTTAACCTCATTGGACTTTCCCCAGGAATTGATGCGCATACACGTGGTGGGTCATTATGCTGCTGCACCTGTGTAGTGTGAAGGTCAGTGTGTTTTTCTGATTATAAGAACCCATCCATGTCATTCCATTATAAACCACTCCACTCATAATGGAATGTGCCTCAGCCCGGAGCCCTTTGTGGTTGCCCCAGCCCAGGAATTCTCTCCAGTGCAGCCCTGACATTTGAGATCCATCACCCACCCCTGCCCCACTGCCTGCATCTCCCCCTCACCCCAAATTTGACTGTGCTCCATTTTGAGATGATGTTCTTTGCATGTCGCGTTCTTCTTGTGTGATGTGAATGTACGGTTGTCACAAGTGAATTTGTACCTGAAAGCGAACACTCTCTGATGCTCCTTCTGAAATGACAGCTCAGAGCTCTGCTGGGGTGTGGGTAAATACTTTGTAGTTGATATGGGCACAGATAAGCATGCCTGGAGACCAGAGCAATGATTATTCCTGCTGATTCTGAGTGGAACCAGCCACTGGGAGGTTACCAGCTCATTGCAGTGGGCCTCAAGCAGCTGGTGGCTCTCCCAGGGGATCCTTCTTCCAGATCCCTTCAAACTTCCCTCCAAGTCCTCTGCTGCTAGGATTGCAAGTTTTACAACTTGTGGGAGCAGCCCTGGTTTATAAAAATCACAGCTCATATTTACTCATATGCACATATGCACAGTGTATCAGCATTTGTGTTGCATACTTTTCTTGTGTGAGTTCCTCTACACTTATGACAATCTGAAGAGGTAGGTACGACCATTGATGTACTAGAGAACTGGGCCATAGAGGGCTCAGTCACTGCTCTAAGTCTCCCAGTGAGTATGTGAGGAGCAGGGATTCAAATGCATCTAGCCTTTCTGAGCTAGCATCCTTGTCCATGGGCCCTGGTGCTGCTCTGGGAGCATGCACTCAGCCAATCTTGAAATGAGGCTTTTGTTTAAAAATAATAAAAGCTTACATCTGCACAGCGCTTCACAAATGTACTAAGCATATCCACGTGCGGATTCAGCTAATCCCTGAAATAACCATTCAGCGAGGATAAGAATGCGTAGGGATATTCCTTAAGTGTCCCGGTGGTGCCCAGCCTGCAGGAGGATGAGCAGGCCTCATGCTCAGCCTTTCTCTTCCATCCCACCCCAGGGCACCACTTCCAGAGCACCCAGAGGGTTGCTCTCTTCATGAGTGAGTTTTGAGGAATGCATTTAGAGAATGAACATTTTGCATGTTATATTCAGGAAGCATTAAATTGGGACCTACTTGTGTGCTGCTAAATGTCCAGGGGCAGTCAGAGTGTGGTGACTGTACATGTCCTTTTCTTATGGCACATGCCAGTCAGTTGTACTGTCAGAGTTGGTTTCTCGAAGTTCACCCAGTTACTCCCACTCCTAGTCTTACCCATTTGGGGAACACTTGACTTTTGCTAAGAGAACATTTTTCCCAATGCATGGCCCTCTCATCTGCTTATACCCCCCTGGGACTTCTGAATTTTCTCTTTGACTGTAAAGATATACTGAGAAGCCTTTTTTATCATATCCAGTAGTTCCTTTGGGTGCATTTAACATTTTGGTAGAAGGTCCCCCCCTTTCTCTTTCCAAGACTAACGTCCTTGCAAAGTGGGGACTTCCCCATCCTAGGGAATCTCAGCTCCTGTGCATTTTCAGATACAAACTGTTCCTTGAAATAAAACTCTCTGAATCTAGTAGCACAGTTAAGTGGGCACACACATCATCTCAGGGGATTTTATTCAGTGATCCAGGAAACACAGTAGTCGAGCATCCTCCCCTGACATTTATATGAGTGAGCTCTCCCTGATTAACAAGGAAGAGAAAACAACAATCACAGCTGACTCTCTCAAGGGACATAGTTCATGAAATGCAATCATAACCACAACCTCTTGCGTGACACCGGAAACCCGAGGGGACAAAATCAGCTGCTTTATTCCCAGTTTCCATGGCAGGTCACTGTAAAACTTCCTGTCCCTAACTCTATAGAATAAAGGAAATCTTCTGGCCCCATAACTTTTGCCTTTTTTTATTAAATCCTCAAAATCAAAAATAATCCCAAGGTTTTCTACACCTTCCTAATATGTTCCAAGAAGATCCACCATGTTGCAAAATGAATCTGCAGCATTACTAACTGTTAAGAAGGTCTAATAGGCACCCCTGGCTGAGAACCACTACAGCTGGTGGGAACTAAGTGTTTGTGAACAAGAGAATGGAGAAGGAATCTACATGACAGATCTTTATGCTACAGAGAGGGGCTTCTTGCTCAGAGATAGGTTTCCTGAAACCTTTCAAAGCTCCATTTTGGAAAAACAAACAAACCTTATGGCTTGTGTGTTACAATGATTAGCATCTCTGTGTTTGGTGGGTCCCTGAGGACATAGACGCTGGTTGTTCACAAGAAAAGTAAAGCCTGGAAGAGAAGAGGAAGAAGAATCGGGCTGGACTGCAGCCTGACAGTCTCTTCCAGACCAGTGTGCTCTCAGGAGCAATGCCTGCCTGTTTTGAGATGCCCGTATTGGGTGTGGTCAACCAGGCCTTGGTACCCTCATGTTGCTCAGAGCACCCTCAGAAGACCACATCACAAAGGCTGAAGCGGGCCCAAAGGAGCTGGCAGTTGTTGGCAGGCACCCTCCCAGACGCTGTGCAGTGGTGTCCTTTCTTAAAGGGCTCTCTGAGCAGCTCATCTGCCATACCTTCCAGGGACTTCAGAAAATCAGTTTTTCTGGGCTTTTCAGAATTTGATCAGAAGCAGCTGGAGACAGGGAGATAGTGCTAAAATGTGATCCTTTGCTGGAGTTCACAGCCTAATGTAGTGGGAAGGAGGGGAATGGAAGAAACAGAGAGCAAACTATGGCTTATTAGGTTTCTCTCTGGGTCAGGGCGTGTGCTAGGTGAAGAGACTTAGAAGAATAGGCCTTTAAGAGTCCAGGGATCTCAAAACTTCTCACGCAGAAAGTGAGCCCCAGAGAGACTGTGCCCAGGATCTCCCAGAGATGGCAGGGCCCCAGGGTGTCCCAGACTCAGCTCCACTCAGCTTCCTGTCTGTTCCTGACTGCACACCCCATAGACCCGTGTCTGCTCACAACTTCTGTTAAGTTATGGAGTGTTCCTGGTCTGTTGCTTCTTCTTGACCCCAGACTATATGATAAAGGAATGCTATGGCTCCCTGACATTTTGTGTTCTTGTTATATATTTCAAACTGAAAGTGATCCCAAGACTTCCTATACCTTATCCCCACCCCTTTGTGTCCACGGGGGTGAGTTCCGTGTCTAGAATGAATTAGAAAACAGAGGTGTGAATCCTTGGGTGTCTGAAACCCACAGCTGGCTCCCCTAAATTTCCACTATAGCTCTGTCTGGCTTTTCAGTTACAGTGTCATCCAGGCATAAATGGAAAATGTCATCAGAAGCCTCAATTCCACCCTGCAATTTGTCATCCTGACACCAATAGAAAGTCAGCATACCATTAATTCTCTACACTTATTGATTTGGAAACTCAGTTAAAAGCTGACTGCCATCCTCTTCCTCCTCCTCCTATTCTCTTCTTTCCCTTCTTCCTCCCGCTCCTCCTCCCCTCTGCCTCCCCTCCTCTTTATTCTCCTTCTTCTCCCCCACCAAATAGTCTTCAGTTTCTAGAGTCCGAAGCCACGGTACTGCAGTGACTACTGTAGCTAAATCTCCCTGCACATGAAGCCACAAGCTTTCGACTTCACCAAGTTGGGGACCACCATGGTCTCCCCTCTAGCCTTTCTCCAGTCACTGCCTGAACTCAGTCCTCCTGGACTGGGAGAGAGAAATATTGTGATCCACATTGCTAACGGGTGAGCTGAGTCATGCCCTTGGCAGAGTCAAGGAACTATGTCAAGGAGACCAGTAGTCTTGAGTGAGTCTGGAAGGGGTCTGACCTGACAAGGGATGTCTTCTTCAGGGTCTGCTTGCCTCTGCCCAACAGGTGATGGGTGCTCCCCTAACCTTGAACTAGGGCCATCTGGGTGCCTTGGGTCTGCCTGAGCCTGACGGGAGAGCTCTGCCACCAGTATTTTCCCATCAGAAAGCAGCAGCCTCAGCACAGAGGTAAGACTGCCCTGCTGACTTGCTCACAGCCTGCCCCAATGATAGTTCTGAGCGTCATCCTGATGCAGCAGCCCCGGAGGACCAGGCCACGCAGGCTCAACCGTTCCTGTTAACTACCCCCAGCAGGACCAGAGCTGCAAGCCCAGAGCAAGGCTGGGACAGTGAACAACTTCTCCGCCTGCTCTATGGAAGGTGTCTTGTTTTGAATACATAATCTGTCTGTCCTGTTCTTTCAAAGTAAGTGCTTTTATGAAAGGTCTGGACTGTCCTTTAAACATCTTTCTTTTTTTTCCCTCATTTAACAGGAAATGTATTTCTATCCTTTTGTGGACTCAACTTTAGGAAGGGAGCTTGGTAGAGGGAGGATGCTTTTGTGTGAAATTCAAAGATTGGTTTAAACTAGGGCATGCACATGGCATAGCTATTTTGTGCAGACAGCAGGTGGCAAAAACATGCATGTGTGGCTAGCTGTTGGGAGCTTTGCTTATTCGAAGTAGTGTATGATAAGTGGTTTTGTTTGAGCAAAGGAGTGCCAGCTTTATTTGCAGCCACAGAGGAGATGCCCTTCTTGCTGGGTAGTGCTAGATTTAGAGCCGGAATTTTCTTTTTTCAGCAAGAACTAGAAGTTCCCCAGCATTGCTTTTTATCCTCTCATGCCCATTTGTGTGCAGAATTCTTAGAGAACGCAGCATTGCTGATGTCCTGCTACACTCTCCGTACAGCACCGTGTGTCAGCAGATATGGGTTCTGGGTCTGTTTACTCAGCTCTGCTTTCTAAATGAAAGTTCTTGTTTTACACGGCTTCAAATAAGAAGTCAGGATTTTCATGATCACAGCTAAACATACACCACGAGTGGATGTGTATTTGCCTTTCTCTCTTGCAGATTTTTTTTAGCAAAGTAGAAGCAGGATTTAGGATTTATTTTATTCTCCTTCAAATTTTTGGATAGGAATTATCCTGAGTTACC